AGGGATGGAGCCCATGGAGTCTGGGTTCAGGTGCCCATCTGGGGCAGGGCGGCCTCAGCTCTGGTCAGTCTTGGGGGGCGGGTGGTTGGGACCACTGGGACAAGGAGGCAGTGTGCCAGCCGGTGCCAGGCTTGTTCCGAGGCCCTGCTGTGTCCTGCTGATGGTAACATAGTGCCTGGACTTCCTATGGTGACCACCCACGTCAGCCCCGGTTCTGAGCTTTCCCAGAATAATGGGCCCGAGACCCAGGGCCAGGCTGCCCCTCCACCTCCAGCCGGGGCCCTGCTTCCAAAGCGGCTCCTGCTGCAGCTGGATGGCTGGGTGCTCGCACAGCCTCCCCTCTGCTCTCTAAAGAAGCCCGGGGCAGTGACTTATTAGGAGAGAAAGGAGACCTCTGTCCCAGGGGACTCCAGGGGGGCAAGGCTAGACCCTCAGGTAGAAGTCTTCAGACTCCCCCTCTCGGCCAAGGCTTCGGTACCACTGCATGTCCACCTTCCAAGCCCGTGTCTCCAGGCGAACTGTGAGCTGCAGGGGTACTGTATACAGCTGCCCGCTTGGCACCTCCCCCACTGTTCACAGCATGAAGTGCCTCAAACTCAGCCCCTCCCAGCAACCTCTCCTCCCTCTCCCCCTCTGCAGGGAATGGCCCCTCTGAACACCAACAGCCCCGGCCAGGGACCCGGGGGGAGTCCTCTTCCTTCTCCCCGGACTCTGCCAGCTGCTTTTCTCTTTCTCACTTGAAGGCTGTGAGGGAAGGAGCCCAGCCCAGGGACAGGGTGGGAGTGTGCCTTGAGGGCAAAAAAACCAGGCGTGCGGGGGGGGGGGGGGGGGCTGCAGGAGAATGAGTGAGGGGAGAGAGGGAGGAGGGGAGAGAGGTAGGGGTGCGGGTACGAAGTAAAACTGCTCTTACTCTGGAGAAAATGAGGGGCCTCTCGAGTATTCTGATCAGAGCAGTGACTAGGACTGGCTGGGGTCATTAGCAGGCATGTGTGTGTTTTTAAATATATATTTTCATTGATTTCAGAGAGGAGGGGAGAGGGGAGAGACAGAAATGTGAATGATGAGAGAACCACTGATCTGCTGCGGCCTGCACGCCGCCCACTGGGGATGGCACAGTGTGAATGGAGTGTCGGTCGGCTGGGGCGGGTTTCAGAGTGAGTGGAGGAGAGGCGCTGGAGACAGCGAGGTGCCGCAGAGAAAGGAGGGGAAGCTGAGGTCGCTGATGGGGAAGTGGAGTCAAGAGATGGTTTTTGTCTGTTTTTAACCAGAGATAGAGGCAGAAGGAGTAGGAAGTAGAGGGAAATCAGAAAGAGATAAAATCCAGTTTCTCACAGACCCGAGCCAGGAGCTCCCGTGCTGTTCACCGTCCGAACGCCAGCCGCGCTGCAACCCTGCTTCCCGCTTGCCGGCTGCGACCTGGGTCCCGGCGCTCTCTGAGCCTCAAGTTCCGCAGGTGTGAAATGGGAGACGGCCTCCCCCCTATCAGGGCCCTGCGGACAAGCAGGGGACAACGCACAGAAAGTGCAGGCGGGTGCCGCACAGGGAGCGACTTTCTCTTCTGCGCCCCTCATCTCTCACCTCACAGCCCCACCCCAGGCTTCACGCCGTTACCATAGCGACTCCATAGATGGGAGCAGGGCCCCTCCTGCTGGCTGACGCTGGAACTGCACCTCGTCCCTGTTCAGAGGTGGAACTTCCAAATCCAATTCAATTCCCCCGCAGTCCGGCAATGATTTCATTCCGCAGCAAACAGATGTCATCCAAAATCAGTAGTGAGCGCTCCAGAACCTTCCCACCACCCATCATACACTGAGCGAGATGTTAACCCACCCGCCCCGCTTGGTCCTGCAGCTGCCCCTGCTCGGAATGCGCTCCCTCCACCACTTGGAAACACAAAAGTCACCCCTCTGAGGCTTTCTGTGACCCTCTCCCCTTAACCATCCTTACCCCCTGCAGACTGAACTGCTGGAACGTTCTCTTCCGTAGTCTCTTCACATCTGTACTTACCTCTAGATTTGCTATAACACCTGTCTCACCTGAGGTCAGGAATTGCCTTATTTATTAGCTGCCAGAGGGATTTTATAACTGAATCTGACCACTCACAGCCCCTACCGGGAATCTCCCCCACTGTGGGTGAGGGGTGAGGGGTGAGGGTGTGTGTGTGTGTGTGTATGATGTATGTGTACCTGGATTATCCAATATTTTTACATTTTTATTTATTTACTTTTTAGTAAAGAAAGAAATCTGCCTGGCAGGCATGGCTTAGTGGTTGAGCAATGGCCTATAAACCAGGAGGTCACGGTTGGATTCTCAGTCAGGGCACATGCCCAGGTTGTGGGCTTGATCGCAAGTGTGGGGCGTGCAGGAGGCAGCGATCTCTCTCGTCATTGATGTTTCTATCTCTCCCTTCCTCTCTGAAACCAATAAAAAAATATTTTAAAAAAAGCAAAAGGAAATCCTTCAGGGCCTCCTGGTACTTTCAAATTCCCTGGCAAAGCTTCCAGGATAGGACCTGGCCTCTGCCTGTCTGATTCTCCCTCCTCCTTGCCCACCCTCCACTAAATCTCCCAGCTCGACAGCACTGTAAGTGGCAGGTGCCTCTCAAACAGGCCTCCCATGTTCAGCCCTGCTTAGTTGACAGTAGTTCCCACTGCCATGGTTTGCTCACATGCAAAATGAAGGATCCAGACAGGATTTCACAAATCCTTCTGACTCTAGATTTCTCATTTACGGATAATGGTTAGCATGTCTTAGGCAACTGTCACCCAACAGCAGATCCTGAGCAGGGATCTCCTAGAGAAGGGGCTCCAGGGGATCCGCCCCTCTACCACCCTGGGCAGGGGAACGCAGCTGTCCTCTCCCTCCTTCACACATGGCCCATTACACATAGGACCTTGGGGAACCCATGGTCACTTCTCACCCAGGGTGGACTGTGTCCTAGGATGGGGCGGGGCTATGTCTTCAACAGCAAGATGCTCACCCGAGTGATAATCATTTGTCAATCCCTGTGGTGAACAGGCTCTGAAACCAATAAAAAAATATTTTAAAAAAAGCAAAAGGAAATCCTTCAGGGCCTCCTGGTACTTTCAAATTCCCTGGCAAAGCTTCCAGGATAGGACCTGGCCTCTGCCTGTCTGATTCTCCCTCCTCCTTGCCCACCCTCCACTAAATCTCCCAGCTCGACAGCACTGTAAGTGGCAGGTGCCTCTCAAACAGGCCTCCCATGTTCAGCCCTGCTTAGTTGACAGTAGTTCCCACTGCCATGGTTTGCTCACATGCAAAATGAAGGATCCAGACAGGATTTCACAAATCCTTCTGACTCTAGATTTCTCATTTACGGATAATGGTTAGCATGTCTTAGGCAACTGTCACCCAACAGCAGATCCTGAGCAGGGATCTCCTAGAGAAGGGGCTCCAGGGGATCCGCCCCTCTACCACCCTGGGCAGGGGAACGCAGCTGTCCTCTCCCTCCTTCACACATGGCCCATTACACATAGGACCTTGGGGAACCCATGGTCACTTCTCACCCAGGGTGGACTGTGTCCTAGGATGGGGCGGGGCTATGTCTTCAACAGCAAGATGCTCACCCGAGTGATAATCATTTGTCAATCCCTGTGGTGAACAGGAGGGGCTTATCTATTCATGGTCAGTGTCTAGAGCTGCATTAAGCATGTGAGGCAGCTGAGCCCCCTCCTACAGTGCTCATCTTTGAGGGACACTAAAACATGATTGGAAGAAATCAGAAAAATAGTGCCAGGCAAGCCACGTTTCTACACCTACAAGCCTCCTTACATCACGTAACTACCAAATTCAAGCACTCCTGCTGCCACGAATGTAAACTGGGCCTTTGAAGGAAAAGATAAGTAGCTTTGCAGGCTGGGATAGTCTGTTGAGCCTTGAGACACAAATGCGAGTTTCACTCTGCAACTCAAATGCCAGAACCAAATAGTACAGGGCCTGATCTCTCTCACCAATGACTTATTTACTATGTGAACTAAAGCTAAATCCTTTAATATACCATAATGATAAGTAGGAACTTATCATTTGGAAAAAAATCAACTTCAAAACAAATGCCTAACTACAAATGAATATAGCCCCAGCCCGCTGAGCAGCATTCCACCTGTGGGCCACACACACCCTTCACCAGCTCATCCTGGAGGCTGTGTAAACCTGTGCTCGGACTCAGACTAGTTTCAATCCTGACTTCACTACAGTGGGATCATGAGTTTATTTTGTCTCAGCCAGTTTTCTCATCTGTAAAATGGGGACAAAAGCAGTGTTCCTCGTAGGGCTTTGTGAATTAACCGACAGGCCGTGAATGGCTGGTGGCATAGGTAGGGTCTCCATGTGTGTCTAACGGTCGTCTTTGCTACGATGAGGGGAAAGTGCTCTCCTAAGATGAGGACACTCGTTTTGACAGAGGCTGATGAGGTCCGCTTCCTGTACACTTGTGACTTTATGGACCTCTCTGTTCCTATCAGGCTGTTCCTGCTGCAAGTCTACACTCTCGACCCAAAGGGATCTGGAACTTAGCTGGCATCCGCATCACAAAGCCACCTATAATTCTCACCACACACCAAGTGCACTTCCTGAAATGAGGCTCCCGTATGCAAGACACATCCATTCAATCCCAACTCTGGCTGAAATCCCTTCTAAACCTCCTCAACTTCGGCGCCTGAGCTGCAGCTGTAGCCAGAGGGCGGATGACCAAGTTTAAACCATGCCCACTCCAGGCCAAGTGCCCCAAAGCCCAATCTCTTGTCACATCTGTGGTTCTGCCTCCTGATGAAGGGTGGCTGGCATCTCTCAACCCACTTGGCTCCATGAGGCTTCACTCTGGGGACCAGAATCTCTAATTAGTTTCTGCATTCATTAGGGGATATTCTCATTTGTAGTAATAAAATGGGGACAGGCACCACCTCCCAAGCCCGACAGCATACCCTTGGCAACATTTCCTAATGTCAGTGGGAGTCGGTGATGGTGACCGAATCACAACTGCACCGGAATGCCAAAAGTTACGTTTAATTTACAATGTAATAAAGGTTACAGGTAAAAAGCTACACATAAAGCGTGAAAAGGCCTATTACACAAATGTACAAATCTCTATACAAAGCTCTTATTGATGTTTCCTACCTTCGTCTCCTATGTTCATTAGCCAGGTCTCATCTTAGAGCTTTGGATAACAAGAGCTCTCAAACGGGGGAAGCGCCTCCAAACCGACATCTAAAATGTCTTCTTAGAGACATCAGTTACTTGCAAAGTGAAATCTTTTCCTTTTTAATTGGAATTGTTCTAACTGGTCAAATGCTTTAAAAATTGCCTTCATAACACACTTGAAAAGGAAAGCCTTGGAGAGTACAGTACTCTGGAATCAAATGAGAAACTTCAGGAGTAGAGAGTACTCAGGTTTGACAAGAAAAACAGGTAAAGTTCAAACAAAGTAATAAGTTTAAAACTATCAACCTGTGTCTATGGCATTCACTGGTCACAGACCACAATCAAAATATTCTCATCCCAACGGAAAGGACAAAAGAGAAAAGCCTAACTACTGGACCTCAAAACCACTGACCCAGAAAAACACTTTTTAAACTTTAGCTTAACTAAGGAATTTTAACCCTCTTTATCAACCTCAGATCCATGGCAACCCTTTTGCTATGTGGAACTTACAGGGATAGTAAATATAAATTAGGCTGCTGGACCCATAAGGCTGGTGATGCCACCATCACCTCCCCAGCTCTGAATTAGACTCTTTGGGCCTGGAGTCTCTCCACAGGGTACATGACTTAAAATAAAAATAACCCTGGAAAGAGGGAAGAAAGAAAAAGGAGGTCATGGAAGGCCTGGGAGGCTCCAGGGCACCAATTTAAAATGACGTATGAAATGTTCTTCTACACTGAAGTGTTCTGAAGAGCAGTCTTTACGGGACATTTCAACCCCACCCCCAGTTTTGGTATTAGATGTTTAGGACCCCAGGAGACATTCTGAAAGACGATACTGCACACATGGAAAATTTTCCTCCCAAGTTCATCAGCTCCCCCATCACCCTTCCACCCAATTCCCACCCAATCCCACCCCTTTTCCACGACCAAAAATATCAAATCAGTAAGGAAGGCGTCGGCTTCTTGCCCGGCCAAGCTTCTTTTGCATATTTCTTCTTCTTGGGTTCGTTAACAGCTTCGGGGATGTAGACTGCAGGGTTTGGTGTAGGATTCATGTTCACTGCTGATGGCACAACAGGAGTCAAGTCCACATCAGGGGCGAGGTTCGGGTATGGCATGGGCAAACCACCGATGAGTGCTGTCCCGTGGATGCCATGCGGCTGGGAGCCGGCTTCACTGTGTGTGGGGGGCAGGCCCCCGTAGAGTCCTCCACTGAATGCAAAGTTCTGCATGCGCCTGCTCCCCGATTCTTCCAAGCCCAGGGAACCAGGGCCTTCCATCCGCTTCTTCTGTGGTTTACAAGGAACAGAGCAGACAAGAGGTGAGGCACATGGGTGGTGCTAATTAGCCTTTTCTATTCCAGCCCTAAAACACTGGGGAAAGCCCCTAAACCTCTAGCTTATTTTGTTTCCCAAACAACCTATTTCCCAGTCTTGAAATCTCAGTGATTAAAGAGATTTTACAGTGGTCCTCTAATGTGATGGGTCCACATAAAGTATTTACCATCCCAAGTCACACTGAGAAAAATGAGGATAGTGTGTGAGCATTTTATAAAGTAAACCTTATCCAGTTTAAGTGACTATCCTTAGCTTGTCATACCTCTCCCTCTCTTTTGTTGGTGTTAAAATGCCCTTTTAGGAAATAGGTGATAATGGGTGGTAGTAGGTATTTAAATTTGGAGGGGGGGATCAGAAGTTAGTATTTATCTTCATGTTGGGCACCAAATGTCTAAACATTAATCTCAGAGCAAAACAAATCTGTAGTGAATGAAAGAAGTTTACTGGTTGCCTGGGGCTGGGAGTGGGCGGGTACTGACAGCAGAGGGACATAAAGGAATTTTCTGGGTGATGGAAATCTTCTATATGTTGATTATAATGGTGATGACTCAGGGGTACACATTTGTCAAAACTCAAACTGCACACTTACCATGTGTGCATTTTACTGTATGTAAATTATACCATAATAAATCTGATATAAAAGTAAAAATATCTTCTGGTTTTGTACTTTAATGACAACAGAACATTCCAAAAAGAGAAAAGAGCTAAAGGGGAAATGTGACATGAGCTCGATGGAGCTGCACAGGAAAACTTCACCTTGTACGTTTTCACAAGAGACTAAAGAAAGTTCATGAAAGATCCCCTCACTTGTCTACTCCTTTTGAGTTAAAGACTAACCAGGAATTTGACACATCAACCTAGTCTAATATATTCTAAAGACGTTTAAAAAATAAAACTCTATCATTGCAAGTACATAAAAATATAACTGATTTTTGTGCATTGAAAACAAACAAAAACTCTATAGTATCTCTGACCAGCATCTTCCAATTTCTTTTTTTTTTTTAAATATATTTTTATTGAGTTCAGAGAGATAGGGAGAGGAAGACAGAGAGAAACATCAATGCTGAGAGAGAATCATTGACCAGCTGCCTCCTGCACGCCCCCTTACTGGGGATCGAGCCTGCAATCTGGGCATGTGCCCTTGACTGGAATTGAACCTGGGACCCTTCAGTCTGCAGGTCGATGCTCTATCCACTGAGCCAAACCAGCTAGGGCCCAATTACTTTTTTAATACCTCTATTTACAGAGATCCCAATATTTAAAGGACTATTTATTCCTAGCTGTCAGGTAGTTCCTCCACATGTTTAGCAATCAGAACATCTTTGTAACTTCTATCTCTTGGTTCTTCAACATACCTGGTCTTTATAAACCTAATCCAGGTTTGGGCTGGCTTTTCTATCTGTGCCACTCCCAGGCACAAAAAATAAAGTCACAGCAAAAGGCAGCAGTGCCATGCAGAAATACAACGCCTCTTTCTTGCCTAATAGCTAACTCTGAGTGAAAAGGGAAAGGCTAAAGAAACGTGGGCCTCTCTGCAGCCTGTTGGAGGTAAATTTACATTGCACCGTAATTTACATGCAGCATCAAGCTGGCTGGTCACCTGCAGCCTTACTATGGGCTCCAGAATCCTCTAGACATAGATGGAGTATAAGTATGACCACAGGGCAAAAAAATGGGAGAGAAGCAAAGAATATGTTTTAAAATTAAGTACACCTAACCTATTTATAAAAGAGTGGATTTTTATTATTTTTTTTATTTTTTATTTTTTTAAAAAATATATTTTATTGATTTTTTACAGAGAGGAAGGGAGAGAGATAGTCAGAAACATCGATGAGAGAGAAACACCGACCAACTGCCTCCTGCACAGCCCCCACTGGGGATGTGCCCGCAACCAAGGCACATGCCCCTGACCGGAATCGAACCTGGGACCCTCCAGTCCGCAGGCCGACGCTCTATCCACTGAGCCAAACCGGTTTCGGCAAAAGAGTGGATTTTTAAACCAGACTGCATGAAATGGCATTTCAAATATTGTTACAATGTGCTTCCTACCTTCACTGGGACCACTGCAGTCTGTACCATGTTCCGGAAGCGTCCAACTGAGGGATCCACATCCTCTGCAAAAAGACATGAGGGAAGGATTAGTTTGGTATTCTCCTGTGAAAGTTAAGGGAAGAGGGCTCACTACAAACAAAGCAATCACAACTCACACTAAAACAATAAAATATAGCTAACATGTCAACTGTTTCTATGTGCTGGGCACTGTGTTAAATCCTCACAACAAGCCTATGAGGTGAGAGCATGACTACAGTCAACATTTTTTTTTAATTTTTATTTTTTTAATATTTTTATTTTGATTTCAGAGAGGAAGGGAGAGGGGGAGAGAGATAGAAACATCAATGATGATAGAGAATCATTGATTGGCTGCCTCCTACACCCCCTGCTGGGGATCTGAGACTGCAACCCAGGCATGTGCCCTTGACTGGAATCAAACCCAGGACCCTTCAGTCCCCAGGCCAACGCTCTATCCACTGAGTCAAACCAGCTAGGGCTATAATAAACATATAATAGACAAGAAAACACCTCAGGCTAAGAGGAGTAAAGTGATGGGCCTAGTCACCCTACGGAAGAGTGGAGGAGCCAGGATTTAGTCCAAGTAGCCAGAAATAGGACTGGACCACTGTGCTGTGCTGCCTTCCCCGAGTTCTTTCGCATTCCATATACTTCCCTCTTTTGAGGGAGAAACAAAAGAGTACGTATTAGCAATCCCATGATAGTGACAAAACAATGACATGTCAAGAGGTCACACACCACCTATCTTGGTAATGCCCACTCATTAGCAAATAACAGAATTAGGATTCAGATCCAGGGCTTCCAAATTTACTTGGCCTTTTGACCTGAACAACTGTATACAATCAAGACTTTTACTGCCATGGCCGGTGTGCTCAGTAGAGTATCAGCCTGCCTACTGAAGGGTCACGGGTTCGATTCCCCATCAAGGGCACAGATTTGGGTTGCAGGTTCCATCCCAGGCCTGGTCATGGTGCATGCGGGAAGCAATCAATCAATGTGTCTGTCTCACATCAATGTTTCTCTCTCTCCTTCTCTCCTTTCTTCCCTCCCTCCCTTCCACTCTCTCTAGAAATCAATGGGAAAAATATCCCCAGTAAGGATTAACAAAAATCCTATCTAATAAAAGACAAAAAGGGTAATTAACTGTACCTCCGCTACGCTTCCCATTGGCTAATCAGGAAAATATGCAAATTAACTGCCAAGAGAGATGGCGGTTAATTTGCATACATAGGCACCAAGCCATGGACTGAGGCATGAGGCCTGGGCAGGGGCGGAGCCAGCCAGAGATCCTTGATGGCGGCAGCGGGGGGGGGGGGGGGGGGGGGGGGGGGGGGGGGCCCG